AATCCTGGCAACCACAACCCTGGCAACCACTGATCTTTTTTTTTTTAACATCTTTATTGGAGTATAATTGCTTTACAATGGTATGTTAGTTTCTGCTTTATAACAAAGTGAATCAGCTATACATATACATATATCCCCATATCCCCTCCCTCTTGCATCTCCCTGCCTCCCACCCTCCCTATCCCACCCCTCTAGGTGGTCACAAAGCACCGAGCTAATCTCCCTGTGCTATGAGGCTGCTTTCCACTAGCTAGCTATTTTACATTTGGTAGTGTGTATATGTCAGTGCTACTCTCTCACTTCGTCCCAGCTTACCCTTCCCCCTCCCCATGTCCTCAAGTCCATCCTCTACGTCTGCATTTTTATTCCTGTCTTTCCTGTAGGTTCTTCATAACCTTTTTTTTTTTTTTAGATTCCATATATATGTGTTAGCATCCAGTATGTTTTTCTCTTTCTGACTTACTTCACTCTGTATGACAGACTCTAGGTCCATCCACCTCACTACAAATAACTCAATTTCATTTCCATTTATAGCTGAGTAATATTCCATTGTATATATGTGCCACATCTTCTTTATCCATTCATCTGCTGATGGACACTTAGGTTGCTTCCATGTCCTGGCTATTGTACATAGAGCTGTAATGAACATTGGCAACCACTGATCTTTTTACTGTCTCTGTAGTTCTGTCTTTTTCAGACTATCACATAGTTGGCATCACACAGTATGTAGTCTTTTCAGATTGGCTTCTTTCACTTAGTAATATGTGCATTTAAGTTTCCTCCATGTTTTTTCATGTCTTGATAGCTCATTTCTTTTTTTTTAAATTTTTACGGGAGTATAGTTGATTTACAGTGTTGTGTTAGTTTCTGCTGTACAGCAAAGTGAATCAGTTATACGTATACATATATACACTCGTTTTTAGATTCTTTTCCCATATAGGTCATTACAGAGTATCCCTGTGCTATACAGTAGGTCCTTATTAGTTATCTATTTTATATAGAGTAGAGTGTATATGTCAATCCCAATATCCCAATTTAACCTTCCCCCCATTTCCCCCGTGGTAAGCATAAGTTTGTTTTCTACATCTGTGACTCTATTTCTGTTTTGTAAATAAGTTCATTTGTACCATTTTTTTTTTTAGATTCCACATATAAGCGGTATCATGATAGCTTATTTCTTTTTAGTGCTGAATGATATTCCATTCCATGGATGTACCACAGTTTATTTATCCATTCACCTACTGAAGGATATCTTGGTTCCTTCCAAGTTTTGGTAATTATGAATAAAGCTGAAAGGGAACCAGTTTCCAAATCATCAAATTCCTATAGTACTATTTGCTAAAAATGATTTGCCTTTCCCACCTCTTTTTCCCAGTCTCTAAAAAGAAAAGCATACTTTTCAAAGGTCAGGAATCTTACTGTGATACTTTGACCCAGCCTGTAAAAACCCTTGGGTCTAAATAAAGCAAAAATTCCAAATATTCATGTCCAGAAATCTTCTTTAACTAAAGGCCCTGTAACCTACCTCTTCTTCATCCATCTCGCTAACAGATGTATTTCAAATAAAATTTTATGTCTTATGTTTAATAATAATCACAATGTATAATATCTTCATGCTATTTTTACCGATTATGTATGCATGATAATTGCAACTATAACTCAATCCAGAGGACTTTTTATACTTGGAGACTTATGGTCACGAGAAAATAAAAATAATTCAATTTCTATTTATGGACATATTTTATTGCAGAGAAATTCAATATGGAGATCAATAGAGGACTTTCAAGTATAAAAATATTATAGACTATGATTCTGTAGGGAGAATGTAATGGATATTTGATTTCAAGATGAAGAAAGAAACAATGTATATTTTCTGAAGGTTAAAGAAAAGTTTACACTTTTGTGTTTAATGTTTGATGGTGGGCATCAAATTGCCTTGGTTTCTATAATCCAATGAATATCTTTAAACATGTAATATAACAGTTTTATTTTAAATTGTCAATATGTATAGTATGCTAGAAATTATACCTCTTGCAACTGTTTAAACAAGATGAAAAAAATCTAGATGTCAACTTAACATGTGAGGGAGTACATAGCTTCTCAAAAAACTTTTAGGAGTTATGTGAATAAAAATTTGAAGACCCCAGTCCTATCATGTTGTCAGGTGTTGGGTATAACATGTGCAAAGCATCTAGAATAACACTCAATTAATGCTGCTATTATCTGAAGGACTGAGTTCTAATTTTAACCCTCTTTCTTCCTTGGTATTTGGTCCAGGTCACTTGTATTTCTCTGCACTTTAGTTTCATTGTCTAGATAAAGGATAACACGGATGACTGTAAAACACTTTGAGTATAGGGAGGTAGATGATACCTAACATCGATAATGTCAATGATAATGTTCATGATGATGAAAATATAGGCATAGGCTGTATAAGTCAAGGCATATAGCAGGTGTTCAATAAATGTTTGTTGAATTAGTTAATGAATGCTATAGGGAACTTTCCTAGAATGAAAGACCATGTACCCATTCATTGGGCATCTTCCCTTAATACCTGCATTGGTGTTTATAAAGAAAATGGACATTTTCTCTTAAAGATAAAAGAGTAGGAAGTAAAATCCTTTCCTGGCATGTGGTTGCCTATTAATGCTCAGAGAGTGTTTTCCTCATTGGACTCTTGACCATTACTGCGATATAGTGTAGTGGTTAAGAGCAGGGTTGGCTCAAGTTCAAACTAGCTGTGTAGCCTTGGGCAAGTCACTTAACCTCTCTTCAACTCAGCTATCTCATCTTTAAATGGGTATAATAATAATAATACTGACCTGATAAGATTGTTTTGAGGAATAGTGAGGTGGGTTATGGGATTATAGATTGTGTGGAAGGTAAAGAATGTTACCTCCATAGTTGTCCATGTCCTAAACCCTAGAACCTGTGACTCTGTTATCTTACATGACAGAAGGACTTTGAAGATATAAGTTAAGGATCTTGAGATGGGGAAGATTATCCTGGGTTATAAGGTGGGTCCTTGTAAGAGAAAGAGGGAGGCAGGAGAGTCAGTGTCAAAGTGATGCAGTGGGAGACAGACTTGATAGGCCATTGCTGGCTTTGAAGATGGAGGAAGAGGGCTATGAGCCAGGGGATGTGGACAACTTCCTGAAGCTGGAAAAGGCAGGGAAATCGGTTTTCCCTTAGAGCTTCCAGAAAGGAACACAATCCTTCTGACATCTTGATTTTGGCCTACAGAGGTCTATTTTTAATTTCTGACTTCCAGCACTGTAGGATAATACATTTGTGCTATTTCAAGTCAACAAGGTTGTGGTAATTTGTTACAGCAGCAGTAGGATACTGACACAGGTGGGGTAGCCATTATTACTCTGTTTACAATCCTCTTCAGTTCTGGCTTTTCTTGGCTTTCTTCACAGGGCAATGTAATCTAAACACTTCTCCAAAATTAAAATGAATCTTCTTGCCCGTGTACACACTATTTTCCAGCCCCTAGCTACTCTTAGTCTCAAGGCAGCCACCTGTGAAAGTAGCCCCAGTTCTACAATAGACAATGGACAAGAAGTCTCTCAGGGAAGCTGCAAGACAATTTATAACATCGTCTTCATAGCTTTTTCACTTACATATGGAAAATCATGTGCTTTAATCAACAGCCGATGCGATGAGTTGGATCACAAAAACCACGCTTTGAGGTCCTATTCAGGGAAAAATGAACTCCTAGTTATTGCCTCCCTTTCTCTGGCAGGAGGTTCTGAGCTTAACATGGAGATCCAAAGGCAGGAATCAACCCTTCAGGTAGAAGGCCCATGGGAATTAGAGCTCTAGGACCTGTAGAAATGGGAAAGGGAAGAGGAAAAGAAGTGGGTTGGTCAGAGGGAGTCGGGAAAGAGAGGAAGGAAAACCCACAAACAATCCAGCCTCCCACAATTGATCCCTCCCGGGTTCTTGCTCGCTCCAGTTTTGGAAGCTTTCCAGGTAGACTCTAGTGCGGTGCACCTGCCCTTTGAGGCTGGGCCGGGACAGCTATTAGCTGGGGAGGGCTGGGAACGCCTTTCGGCGAGAGCCACCGCCCTAGCGGGGTGGTGGGGAGATCGCAGGGAGGAGTCACCGGGCGTGGAACGGAAAGACTACATCTCCCAGGCCGCCACGGTTTCCAGCTGGAGTCTAGGGCGCTGACTGCTCCCCAGTTTCCGTAGGGAAGCGTCGGGCTACTGCAGCTATTGTGCGTCGCGCTGTTGCCCTCCTCTTCCCGCTTGGGCGTCTTTGGAGGAAGGCTACGTATCATTGCCGCCCCGTCTTAACCCTTCCGGAGCTTAACAGGACAGCAGGCCGGCTCCCTTGGACCAGGAAGAATTTTGGGAGACGGAGGACTCTGGTAACGAGACCCTCGGGTGCAAGTAAGATACCGCTGAAGGAACCCAAGTCCCCAGGCTCGGTACGAAGGCTTCACCGGGGCAGGGCGGAGGCGCTGGCTTTAAGAAGGGGGAGGGGACAGTGCAATTAGGGTTGCCCGCGGAGTTCGGCAAAGGAAATCTTCAGCTGGCTCCGCAGCTGGGAGCAAGGAGAGGCACCTCCCACCCCCGGCGCTCACCCCCGCCCACACCCTGGGCGGGCTGAAGTGTCACGTTTGCAATTGCTCAGGAAGGATCCGGCCGGTCTCCGGAGGAGAGCTGAGGTGCAGTTTCTGTCGCCTGTCAGGGGGGCGATGACTAGGGGGCCAGCTGCTTGCTAGGCAGCACCCCGCCGGGATCCGACTGCGTTAGTTAGCTCTCCCAGTCACCTGAAGCAATCGCCAGGCCGCCCGTTTCCGGTACAGACAAGCCAGCTGTCCCCAGGAATCTCATCTGAACAGGTACCTGTCCTCCAAAGAGAGGGAGGCTACAGCTTCCTGAGCGGGTCCTGCACTCTGCGCACCTCATCTTCTCCCTGTACTGTGCCACTGATGCTCTTGGTCTTTGTGTCTTTCCTCTGTCCTTCCAATCCCCGCCATCAGAACCATGGGGCACCCCCCGCTGGAGTTCAGCGACTGCTACCTGGACAGCCCTGATTTCCGCGAGAGGCTCAAGTGTTATGAGCAGGAACTGGAGAGGACCAATAAATTCATCAAAGACGTGATCAAAGACGGCAACGCGCTTATCAGCGCAATGAGAAGTAAGTGGAAGGCTTCGATGAGCAGTTTCCTCGAGCCAGTGGCTCTGGCCTTTGAGCTCTTCCACGCCACGGGGAAAGTGGGGATTTAGGGTGATTCTCAGCCCAGGTGTCTGAGGCGAATGGGTTTCTGGACACTTTGGAGTGGGGTCAGTAGAAGTGGAAGGTGGTGGCTGCAAGTAGAATTGGGGCTTTTCCCTTTAGTGTCCTTGGCTTTATAAGACAGGATCTGTAGCTGTCCCAGGGACCGTCTTGTTCTGCAACTATCCTTTCTTGTCAGACTGTTGTTCCGAAGGGACAGTCTGCTTGTTCTGTCACCCATGTATGAGGCAAAGGGACATCCAAGCTGACTGAGGAACTGCCCTAGGACCTCCTAAAGAATTGGGAATTCAGGCCAGCAGCTTGAGTCAGGGTTTTGTTCCTGCCTGGCCTCTGGTTGCTATAGGTAAGTATGGGGGCAGTAATAAAAAAATTTCAGATGGCAAGTTATTTTCTAAGGAAAGCACCTTTGCCCCAGTGATTTTTTTCTTTAAGTTACTGAGTTATGGTTTTGGTCAAGGTCGGTGTAAGTTCAGAATTATTAAATGACCTCACATGCCACTGAATTCTCCTCGAGGGTGGAACAAAGACCTGCCTAGTCCCTGGCAGGAGGAACCCGGCCCCCTGGGAGCATAGTAGAGAGCTCAGGTTGGGAGTTATCTGGCTGAAGGAACCTCACCTAGCTTGGCTTTCCCAGTGGTCACGGTTAACAGCTGTGGGACCCTCCCCTGCTTCCCCACTGTGTATGGAGTTTTTATTTCTGCTAGTTGGCAGAAGGCTTGGAGTAGGAGAAAGAATAATAAACATCCCCAACAAGAGTGCTGGCAGACTAATCCATTGTGCCAAAGAATATACCCAGAAGAATGGAGGTTAGTGAATGGGTTTATATAATTCATTTTTTCTCTTCTTGGTTGAAAGATGATTATGAAAAATAAAGTCAAAGTCACTGGCAAATATATTCTGTATGCCTATAACTTTTTTCTGAGTGGATTTATCCCAAAAATACTGTGTCTGGTCCAGCGTGGGGACCTTAAGGCAAATGCAGCCAACCAAGAGCAGGGAGAAAGGCTTGGGAGCCGCAGCGCAGGGGTATTTGTTGTGCAGCTCTCCTGATTTGCCCCTTGGAGTCTGTGCTTTCCCTGCATATGTTGTCTGCCCACTTTGGTCAGAATAGAAGTTTTCCAAGTTCCTGCTGGTTGTTTGACTGAATTCGATCATATAATGGTTTGTCCTATTGCAGTCTGAACAAGGGTAAACTCTTGGCAGCACCTTAAAGATGGGGTATTTGAAATGCTGATCCTTAGAAACTTTAGGCCAGGCTTTAGGGTGTGTTGCCACTTAATAGAGTTCATTGAGAGGTTAAAGATATGCAGGTTGTGCCACAAAACTAGTTAGAAAGGTAGGGGTTCCTGAAAGGAAAAGGGGGAATGTTTGGATTTTCTTTTTTGTTTCAGTAAACTGCTTGGTGCAGTATTCATAGTCAAATGAAGCTCATCCAAGCCCCTGGAAGGGACTGGCTTTGTGAAGTTTAGGGTAAGCTGAAAGTGTTTGTGCTAAAAAATGATCAGCTGAGGAGTATCAGAGAGATTAAGATTCTTAAGAGAAAATAAACAGTTCAATAAAATGTTTGAGGAAGGGCAAAAGTTTTCTAAGTGAGGGGCAAGTTGTGGTTTTTATTCTTTCCTTTTCTGAGATTAAACGTGGTAGGAGTCAACAATTATGCAGGCTTAAACATTTGCATATGGGCAAAAGATCCAAGAGTTATTTTGGTTCAGGGGGCTTCTTGATATTTATGGTGGTTTTCCCTTTCTGAGCATACATAGAAAGCCAAAAATAGGACAGTTAGGAAATAAAACCCAGCAGCTAACCCACACTCCATTTCTTTCCTTTAAGTTGCATGATTCTAAAAATGTGATTAGCTAGAGGCAAAGGTGGGATGTTTCCCACTGTCTTGACCACAGTAATGTTTATACTCCCACTCTGTTTCCTCACACTGGGCTAGCTGGGCGACTTTTTGCGAGTGAGGTAGACGCAAAACAAAGGTATACTCTTGCTTTGTGTGGAGGAAAAAGGAAGAGAGAACACTGGAAGTGGATTTAGAAGACCTGGGCTACAATCTTGGCTTCACCATTTTGGGATAAGAAGGCACAAATCATTTACTTCATATATAAAATGGGGGTAATTATACGCACCTCACAGAGTTGCTTTGAGGCTCAAAGGAGTTAATGGATTATGAAAGTATTTTGTAAATGGAAACGGCTAAATATTGTAAGTTGTTGATAATACATCTTCAGGTTAATAATATATCTGCTGGTGAATGTGTACTTTTCGGTAGATTTCTAAAGGAAAATACATAAGCAGAAGTAATTGGAAACATATTTTTTGCTGTCATCTTGTTGGAAAATGTCATTCCCTACATTGGTGTGTCTCAGCAATTAATTTTGTATACATGTGTGTGGATTCATTTTGTCATTTGGAGTCTGGCATTAAAAGTAAAGAAGAATTATTGGCACCTTTTTATTTAACTTATTAAATTGACCATCAAATCAACTGGCTAGTGTTTCTAGGAACCAGTGAAACCTAGTGCATCATACCACAAAAACCAGCTGCAGTTTTTGTTAAAGTTGTTAAGCTAGTTGGAACTTGATTTCGTGCTTGTGTCTGATTTTGTACAGAGCTCTAGATAAGGTTTTAGTCACAACTGTGTATGATGATTAATTTATAAATATAGGTCCTGTTTGGATATTCAGATTTTCTTAGATAGATTTGTGCTCAGAGGTGATTGATGTTATGAATGTTCAATATGTCTTCCTTGGGAAAGTGATTCATTCCCTCCCCCTCTTAAATGTGATCTATTCATAATTGTTGGAGTACAAAATGGTGATTATAACTTAAGCCAGTGAAAAATAAAAACACTGGCACTCTTAAAGTTGAATATACTGCACACTTTTCTGTTTGTTCTTTGTTTTTATATAGGCAGCTTTGGTCCCTAGTGTTGTTTGAATATTTTCCACGCACTTAGGCTAGGTATTATTATTATTATTATTTTTTTTTTGCCGTATGTGGGCCTCTCACTGTTGTGGCCTCTCCCATTGTGGAGCACAGGCTCCGGACGAGCAGGCTCAACGGCCATGGCTCACGGGCCCAGCCGCTCCACGGCATGTGGGATCCTCCCAGACCGGGGCACGAACCCGTATCCCCTGCATCGGCAGGCGGACTCTCAACCACTGCGCCACCAGGGAAGCCCCAGGCTAGGTATTATTTAGAACAAGTGATATAGCCTCTGCTTATATCCCAACACAACATGATACACCTAATAAATGTTATATAGTTCAGTGAACACATCATTCATTCCATAAATACTCATGCACATACTAAATTCAAGCCATTGTTCTCAGGGCTGTCACAGATGTGACACAGTAAGTCACAGATGGGATCCTGCCCTCAAGGAGGTCCCAGACTAGTAGGGGAGGTAAGATATATGTAGAGATCACCATCATATAAGGGAGTAGATATGGATCAGAGCCATAGAGTGAGACAGGTGGATACCATGGTATGCGACATTAGAGGGAGAGGTCATTTCCCTGTGGAAGGACAAGGAAAAGCAAAGGAGGAAGTAGCATTGTAATTGGACAGAATTAATGACACTTATCACTTGTTTAGTTGTTCCTATATGCCAGGAATTAAAATCTTGTAAGAGTCTTATGAGGCAAGGATTATTATTCCCACTTTATATATGAAAAAACTGAAGTTCAGAGGCGTTAAGTAACTTTCTCAACTGATAAGGGCAAGAGTGAATTAGAGCCCAGACCTGACTCTAAAAGCCCTGCTTATTTTACTGCATTGCACTGTATTCAGGACAGGGCATTTCATGTAGTAGGAATGACATAGAGAATGTAAAAGGATAGCAAATAATTCAAGTCATCTGGAATACATGGTGCAGGAAGAGAAGTTTGGGAGATAAGGTTGGAATGGAAGGTTGAGGTCTTGACTGTGCAGAACCTGTTAAGTACTTCATACTTTTCTTTATAGGCAGTGAGTATCAAAAACATTTTTGGTAGGAGAGAGACATGGTCTGAGCTGTGTTTTAGGAAGATTCATCTGAGAGTGATGTGTAAGATGTTCCAATTCTAAACAAATATTTGTGACTTTTTCGCAGTTTATTAGGAACTTTAAATTTTCTTTGATATAGCTCAGGGGTCAGCAGACCTCTTCTGGGTAATATTTTAGGCTTTATTTTAGACTTTGAGGGCCATTCAGTCTCTGTGGCAATTATTTAACTGCCATTGTTGTGAGAAAGCAGCCATAGGTAATACGTACATGAAATGAGAGTGGCTGTGTTCTAATAAAACTTTATTTATTGACATTGAAAAGTGAATTTCACATAATTTTCACGTCACAAAAATATTGTTCTTCCTTTGAATTTTTCAACTGTTTATAAATATAAAAACCATTCTCAGCTCACCTGGGGCGGGGACATACAGAAATGGCCGTGGGCTGGGTTTGATTCATTGGTTGTAGTTTGCAGACCTCTGATATGAGTAGTTAACCTAAATGGATTTTTTTATTGGTAAGGCAGTGAATATAGTTATTGCTAAAACATAATGCCATATTTCACATTTTCCATCAACTGATTTTACTTTGGTGTGCTGCTACTTATGCCTGTTCTGGATTCAGGGTTTGCAGGCCCAAATGCTGTCAGTGGCCAAGGAGAAAACAGAAAAGCATGAAGCTATTGGAAGTGGGTTAATAGGGCTGGAGTGATTGGGGTAAAATACAGCAGCCTCATCCCATGTAAAAAAGCCTTCGCTTTCTTTAAAAATGTGATAGCTAAATGAAATATGTTTACAGCCTGGATTCAATCAGGTTGCAACTCCTGAGCTAGATGATCTACTTCTAACAGTCTAGGAGTCTTGGATTCTAATGGGCTAGGAAAATGGAAGGTGATAGTCTCCAGACAGAGA